ATTCTGTAAACAATTATACCCTTTTTGTTCCCAAAACTAAGATAATTCAGATATACAGGGAAACTCCAAAATGTGTCTGGAAAATGGAGTTAAAAGATAAGCTCATTTTTGCTGCACAGAAATAAAACCTATGCCGTTTTTCATTTTATACATTTTCCATGAAGACTCCTAGATGCATGGGTTTCAATAACTTTTTACATCAAAAGAAACTTATTTGTATTTCCATTTTCTGTGTAGCTTTTGAAATATTTCCATACATGAAAGGACAGAATACATTGACCAGCTGGACAGAACACAGTTAAAATAATCCCATTTAATCATTTTCCTGCCCTGATCCTCATAGAACAGGGTAACAGTTTAAAGGTTAATCTGGACAATTAACAGAAAAAAATAAAATCCACAACAATTTGTTACTCATTCCAAGTGTAAACACTGGGCCTCCAGCCTTGTAGCTTATCTGACTTGGAGGCGCGGCCAACAAACATTACAAATCTGACCACCTATGGAGGATGGGTAACAGTGCCTCCAAGGGGCCGTACCAGGAGATCCATCACCCAGCAGGCAGCATTCGAAACTTAGCAAAGGGTGCAGATGGGACACAGCTCTTAGTCCTTGAGAATGACATGGACTGGAAATCCACCAGCAGGCTCCCTTCCAGGCACCCTTGCCTTCCCATGGACAGAAAGCTCAGTGAAATGAACAGCTCCAAGGACCCCAGAAAACACCAGGAGAAATTCCAGACAGAAAATGTTCCAGTTGCTTCCTCGTGCCAGGAGCGCTCCCCCTGTCCCACCCCAAGCCTCACAGGTGCTGTCCAGAACAATTCCTGGCCTCAGAGTCTCACATTCCCCGGTGACAACTGGATAGGGGAGCAGCGACAGTTGCCAGCACAGCTGTGGTGTGGGGGCGAAGCTGGGACGCACGGTGCTGGCCCGGCTGGGTTCCAACTTCTGGCTCAGAAGGGGAAGCAATAACTCCCTAGGGATACATAGGAAGCCCAGGGCCCTAACAGCAGTCACCTGGGCCCTCCCAGGAACAATCTCAAAATTCCATTTGAAAATGGAAAGAAGATTCCTTGAGTGCTGTTTTTTTTTTTTTTTTTTTTTGGTGCTTGTAGTGGTACCTGGACAGGGTCTGTTCAGATGGGATAGGGTTTTACAACCTTTAGTCCTAATGGCATCCATGGACACAAGTGTGTCTTTCGGCATTCCTTTCCAACCCTTTACAAACACCTATGTGAATACGGTTGTGATCAATGGGTAAGCAAATGAAAGGGTCATGCTCACTTCTTCTTCCCACAGGCTATCTGATCAGGTAATTCCAACCGCCCCCTTTTTCTTTCTAAGAAGGCCAGGATCCCAGCTCCAATCACTGCTCATCACTTTTGCTGATGGGCTGAGACGTTATTCCAGTCAGGAGGCATCAGCTGGATTTATGCTAGTCTTGATTATGCTCTGGAATCTTTAAATAGCTTTAGTAATTTAAAATACAAATTCAATTAAAACATTCGAAAGTATAATTTTTATAATTTTAAGTAGCTTTTCCTCTCAAATTTTAGAAAAAGACTGAACTATCAGAGGTGTCTCTATGTACATGTCTGAAACCTTGCCCAAAGATCTTATCCATATTACGAGAATTCTGAACCAACGTTTCCTTATAGAAATTATTCATCGCTTTCCAATCCTTTTTAAAAAGCTTACGTATTTGAGAAACAGAGACAGACAATATTCTTATACACCATTCAGTTTCCAGGTGCTTACAGTGGAAGCTGCACCAGGGTTAGGACTGGGAGCTGGGACTGCAACCCACGTTTCTCGTGTGGGTGCTAGGCACACAAGTACTTGAGCCATCAGCACGGGCTTCCTGGGTCTGTGCTGGCAGGAATTCCAAGCCAGGAGGCAGAGCTGGAAGTTGAACCTCAGCGTTCCCACGCGGGATGCCCCGTCTTCATCACAAAACAAAAGGGTTACTTCCTCCACTTGTGAGAGCTGACCACGACTTTATTACTTACTCTGCCATTAAAGAAGTGAAGCAGGTGCACTGCTTTAACCACTGGGAGCATTTTCCGTGGTATGTCATTTTTTTTTTCCTAAAGATTTATTCATTTTTTATTGGAAAGTCAGACACACAGAGAAGAGGAGAGACAGAGAGGAAGACACTCCATCCTCCGATTCACTGCCCAAGCGGCTGCAATGGCTGGAGCTGAGCTGATCCAAAGCCAGGAGCCTGGAACCTCCTCCGGGTCCCCCATGAGGGCTCAGGATCCCAAGGCCTTGGGCCAGCCTCGATTACTTTCCCAGGTCACAAGCAGGGAGCTGGATGGGAAGCGGGGCCGCTGGGACCAGAATTAGCGACCACATGGGATCCTGACACGTGCAAGGCGAGGACCCTAGCCACTAGGCTACTGTGCTGGGCCCAGCATATCATATGCTTAATAAGTAAGAGCTATCATTCCTATCGTGGCAACCTATAACACTCAATGCATGCTCTACAGACCATTTATATATTGTTACAAATAAAATACTTATATTTTATAACATGTCTGTCATTATGTAGGTTGTGATCTATTAGGGGACCATGAAATCAATTTAGCGAGTCTGCCAGGATTTTATTAAAATGATATAAAATTACAAAAAAAATATATAACTGAATGCAACTACACTGTTGTAAAACTGGTTTCAGTGTCATGAGTGTGGTTGCATATAAAATGTATTTCTATTTCTTTCAAACAGAAGTTTGAAAGTCATTGCTTTTTCAAAGGCTGCATTTCTGGTGAACATAATGAAACAAGCATTCACTCAAATAAAGGCAAGCTAATGTGGTTTTTTTTTTTTTACAATTAATTCTTCTCTTTTATATTCATAAACACAATTACTCAGCTTGTATATTGCATTAAAGGTATTCAGACAATTTCAACCTAATGTTCCATGGGAACCATTACATTAACAGGCTAGCATTTGCTGACATTGTTTCTGACATGTCTGCCATGAGATAAAAATAGACCCAAGGACTCCTGATTCCAAGGGCACTATTCTTGAAGTTTGGCTCATCTCCAAGGCAAAGACGTAACAATTCCCCTCCATGACACATTAATCTAGAACAAAATAGTATCTCCTTAGAAATGGCTGAAAATAATTTCAATTAGGCTCCATAAATGCTCACTATATCCACATGCCCTGGCTTATTAAAACCCTTTGAATGTGTCTGAATTGTTTTCCCTAAAACACAGTCTTGTGGGCAGAGGAAAATAATGAATCAACTAAGTCGTATCTTGTACTGTTTATTTCAGAGCCACTGAGACAAGAAGCGAAGCTGACAACAGAAGGAGGCATCAGTCTCAAGTCCTTGCCACCACTTGAACAAGTGTTGGGGTACAAATGTTCAAGTTTCACATTCCTTAGGAAAGTTCCAGACTCTGCCTTATTCTTAATATATGATGTTGTTACCAATATTCAACAATTACCATGACAAAGGATGGAATTCACAAGGATGTCCCTTCATTTCCTCAACTTTACTCCATCAGACCATCAATTACCTAAAGGTGTTGGGAGAGTTTCCATGGGAAGCAAGCATAGACCCAAAACAATTAGGGAAGAGCCAGCATGCAGTTGAATCTGTCATCCACTGCATGCTCACTCCAGGTCAGACATTATATGACAGGCTCAAAACAGAGATGAGCTTGTAATCTGGTGGGAGTCCTCAAAATTACAATCTCATAGGCTGAATGTTACAGCGGAGGAACAGTCAAGACACATTGGAGTCACAAAGGACAGTCACCAAACCCACATGGGGAGTTTATGGAGTGGAAGTTTCCCTAAGTGGTGATGTTTAAGCTAAGCCACAGAGAAAGGGCAGGGTGGCCTTCCACAGGGCACTCAGCCTGGTTCAGGATGTCACAGTGGAGGCTCAGCTAAGAACTATGAGTTCGGCAGCCTTTGAGACAACCACAGTTTCATGTGGGCTGACATAAGAATGGTATGGAATCAGGATGCTACAGCAATGAGGGGATGTCTGGGGTGCAGGCTGACATGTGGGCACACACACGAGACACAGGCTGGAGAAGAGGCAAAGCCCAGACCAGCATCACACACGGGAACTGGAGTGAGTGCAGACATGGGCTGTGCTTTTACCCTCTTGCTCAGATGCCAATCAAAGTGGGATTGTCTAGGTATTCAAAAACCAGTATGTGAACAACTGTCACACACACTTATAAGGCGATTTTATTTGTAATTCCACCGCCTAAAAATTACAACCATTTCCAAGCTTTCCTGTTGTCCTTGTTATCACACCGAATTTTATTTGAAGGGCAGAGAGAGAGAGAGAGAGAGAGAAAGGGAGGGAGAGAGAGAGAAGAGATAGGGGAAGGAGAGATCTTCAATCTGCTAGTTCATTTCCGAAGTACCCAAAACAGCTGGGTCTAAAGCCAAGAGTCCAGACACCATCTGGGTCTTCTAGGTGGGTGTCTGAGATCCACAGGCTTAAGCCATCACCTATAGTCATCACCAGTTTGCTTACTAGCAGGAAGCTGGGTGGGAGGGGTAGGACCTGGACTCAGAGCAGTCGTTTGGAGATGGAATGTGGCATCCCAAGTGACAACTTAACCTCACGAATTTTTAGCCTACACACTCTGTGATGACCAGTTATTAACTGGCAAATCATTTTCCATGTATTCACTGGCTGTGTTAGTTTTAAAGGCCGTGGAATGTCTCACTGTGCTCCTACCAGAGACAATCAGTGTTTCCGTACGTCACACAGCTGGTTCCCGGATTTCCCTATGACAAATGGTATTTCCATAAGGGATTTCTACATGTATGTCTTTTTTTTTTTTAAAAAAAAAGATTTATTTTTATTATTTTTTCATTGGAAAGGCGGTATGTCTTATCTTCTGCTTACCTGGAGGTACATTCTAAGGTGTGACATCAGTAGGCCACAGGGTATCCGGATCGCAATGCGTAGTTTTTCAGCCTTGGCTAGCATGTGGAAGAGGACCTGGTACTTACTGTTTTGCTCCAAGTGAGGCCTGTGGTGTGGTGCTCCTTGATGTATGCTTGAAGCTCACTCCAAATGTTCAGATATGACTTCACCCAATCCACATGGCGCAAATCACTTTGTTACGAAACACAACAGAAGAGAGGGAAGTTAGGCTCCAAAAGGGAATTTTCAAAGGACTGGGGGGTGCGTGGGGGGCATGGTTATGAGCAAACAGCACTCCAGACCACCCAGAAGCCATTGTCCTTCCAGCCAGAAGAGAGGCCTGCAGGGAGGGTGGCCCAACCCCCTCCCAAGGAAAGGCAATAGGAGTCTGGGGCTGGGGACCTGGCTGGGTGCTGCCCATGTGCGTTTTGGTGCTATTCTGCCATCAACTCTTGGAAGTGAATGTGGAAAGGGAGACCACAGCTCTCTGTACTGCTTCTGATGCAGAATGCAAAAGGCAAAGGCTGTCAGGAATGGGAATGGCATTACAAAGTCCCTTTGTGTTGGAATGATTCGGTTCAGTTGCTTATATAACTGATGTGGAGACTTTTGTTCATTATGCTTGATGGTGAGGCTGGCATTGCGAGAAACGTCATCTCTTACAATGAAGTGCCACTCCTTACTTCTAAAGGGCACACTTATTTAATTTACATTTACTTGATAGCTTTGACAATTGCAAGCCAGGCCAGCAGGACAAGTAGTTTATACTTCTACTTGAATGAAGCAAGAGCTAGTAAAAGGATTACCTCTTGTAACTGGATTAACACACAGGACTGAGAATACTGTTAGAAATGTTAAACTTACAGAGGGGTCAAAAAAGTAGTTTTCCTTAGTTATCATTCACTCATAATATGCATTTTTCTCCTTTTAGCAAGAAGTAATGGTAAATGCGAAAAATCAGTTATGTGCTTGGGTCATTACTCTGAAGAGAATCACTGGAGGAAATTTGTCTTATTCAAGCTCATGCCAAAGATGATTGGCTCTGGACATCCAATGCTTTCCTCTTTTTGAAATGCTCGGAGTCCGAGCATGTTCAGCCCTCGCATGTGCCCACTGCATTAATGCACACCACTGAGGAAAACTGAGTGGGGAAGTGTGGGCCCAAGTACCCACTTTTCAAAGAGAAAAAACCTGAGTGTGGTGCCAGGCTCCATTTTTGCTTTTTTGTGATTTACTGATTATATTAGTCAAATCCACGAAGAACCTACCACTTTGTTTCACACAACAGGAGAGATGTAGCTGCATAGGTTTCTGATTAGTTTCCACATCCTGGAGAGTTTTGTGAAGGCCTTGCCCCCAGGAAGCAGTACAGACTATGTAACAACCAGTAGAACATTAAAATGGCTTTATATACCTGTGTGTATGGTCATGTAATACCATCACATGTGTATCTCCACTTGGGCACACAACACACACATCCGTAGACATTACAAAAATGTGTTGCCCAATCTAGTCACAATTAGAAAAACACATAACCAGTGATGTAATCCAAATCTGAATAGACAAATTACTTTTTTTTTAAACCACTGCAATATTATTTATTTATTTATTTAGCAATATTGTTTTGATGGAAATTCCAGCAAACCCTGTAGTAAGGAGTATGATACCTTCTACCTTAAGTCAGTCTCCGGGAGATTACATACAAGAGCAGGACTCAAACACACACGTGGGGCTGCAAGCCTCCGCTCAGTTTTCATTACCCTGTATTGTGTTGTGGCAAGGGAAGGCAGATTTTTCAGGATCTGAACTCAGAGAAACAAGCCATGCCTGTACAAGGCCTGCATGACTACTGACTTACTCATGTATTGAAAAAGCACAAACAAGCGGTCAGGCCAGGGGCACGGGTGCTGCCAGGTGCAGAACTGGCTGCCCACAGGACTTTTGTGTAGGCCCCAAGGAGCCCGCCCCCCCCCCAAGCTCCTCCCACTAAAGGCTGGTGAGGGGGCAGGAGGTTCTGCTTCCATCTTGTCACCAGCCCCAGGAGCTCAAGGGTGACATGGGCTCATCTGGATCCAGTCTTGGTGGGAGGGCAGTCCCCTGAGCTGGTGTGATTTATCCGAGGTGCTGTCAGAGTTGACATGGAAGGACACTAACTTTGGGCACACACACACACATTTTTCTTTGAAATGCCCGGGAGATCCCAATCCTCTTGGCTCTAGGGGGAATCACTCATGCCCATGGGCCCAGCGTGCTCTCTCGTAGGCACGGAAGGACAGAAGTTGGAGAACTGAGGCACAGAGTAACCCCTGGATTGCACAAGCTTGCTATTCTTGGAACATGTGTAGTGGCATGCACTTAAATATGGGGTTCGGGGGGGGGTGTTATTCAACACAAGAGGACTAAAACCAACTTCCTTTCATCTGGTTTTCCCTGTAAAGATGAGATTGTTCTTAAAAATTTGTAGCACATCAATGAAGAACCCTGGAAGGGGATTAGCCGTGAACTATGTGAAAACACTTCAGAAAGCTTATGGAGAATTGAAATTAAAAGATACATTTATTTTGGTGCCAAAAACAAAACCCCAAGCATGAACTCTTCAGTTTGTTCATGATAGATATTTTCCATGAACTCTTTGATGATCCTCTTGTAGGCATGGATTTCCAAATGTCCTAGCACCAAAAATAAACTTGCCACTCCATTTCATTTTTCCATCAGCTGTCTGAAGTTTTTTTTTTTTTTTTTTAAGTTTTAAGAACAAATACCTAGCAAGTGAACAACTGAAAATGTTGCTGGGAAGAGCAGGCACATACCTGTGTTTGTAGTCCTTTAAGACCCTGTTAGTGTAAAAGGTGGCAGCGTCGTTCATCTCCTTGACATAAGGACCGGGTTTGGGGGACTGAGAAAACAGGACCATCACCCAAGCATAGAAGGGAACAAAACAAAACAAAACAGGATAAGAAAGAAGATGTTTTCAGGAAGACGCAAAGCAAAGGAGACACAGATTTGACAGGCGGAAGCAAACTCTGCTTTGGGAAGGTGGGTGAACACGCATGCTCGAAATAGAAAGCATTGAACTTGAAAGAAAAATGGGGGCTGCACTTGGCCTAGAAAGAACGTTCTCTCAGCACGTGGGACTGTGGACGGAGGGGCCTGAAGGCAGCCAGGCATATTCCCAAACACCGTAGCAGGTGGAGAGGTGCAGGGCCACCTGGCGGCTGACTCACCACGGCGATCCATCCGAGGGCGGGGATGCTCTCGCTGACCGCGGACAGGTGATTAAACATGGCGCTTCCCCGGTTTCGCTCCCGGAACATCTGGATCTCTTGAATTTTCTCTGATATGGGTTTTAGAAGCGCGGCCACGTCATTCTGCAAGCAGTGAAACATTAAGAGTTGTGACTTGCACCTACCTAGCCCATGCTGGTTGGAGCAGTGCTTGGCACCTGCTTGGATGGGAAAGAAACATGAGCGTCCATCAGAACGAAATGGATTCGTTCTTGGCCAGGATAATCCACCAGTACACCGCATCTATGTGTTCTCTAGCCTCAGCTTTAACCTACGGCTGATAGAAGATACTTGGGGAAGAAAAAATGCATCTGTAAGTTTAGCTTTTTACCCCCTTATCATTCCCTAAGAAATACAGCACACCAGCCGCCACAATACTGAGGGACAATGGAACCATTTTCACTGTGAATTATGAAATCTTAAGAATTTTTAAAGAGTTTTTTTTTTTTTAATTGGAAAGGCAGATGTACAGAGAGACAGAGAGAAAGATCTTCTGCCTGGTGGTTCACTCCCCAAAAGTCTGCAACGGTTGCAACTGAGTCAATCTGAAACCAGGAACCAAGCACCAGGAGCCTTTGCCAGGTCTCCCACTCAGGTGCAGGGTCCCAAGGCTTTGGGGCATCCGCTACTACTTTCTCAGGTTACAAGCGGGGAACTGGATGGGAAATGGAGCAGTCAGGACAGGAATCAGAGCCCATGTGGGATCCTGGCGCTTGTGAGATGAGGATTTAGCCACTGGGCCACTGTGCCGGGCCCAAACCTGAAGATTCTTTGTTTGTTTGTTTGTTTTTGTTTTTAAAAATTATTTTTACTTGAAACGCAGATTTTACTAACAGAAGAGGAAATAGAGAGGTTTTTCCAACACTGGTTCATTCCCCAAATGGCAACTCAGACTAGAGCTGAGTAGATCCAAAACTGGGAACCAAGAGCTTCTTCCAGATCTCCCATCTGGGTGCAAGGTCCCAAGGACTTGAGCCATCTTCTGCTGCTTTCCCAGGCCATAGGCAGGCAGTTGGATTGGAAGTGGAGCAGCCAGGACACAAACCTTGCCCATATGGGATGCTGGCACTAACAAGTGGATGATTAGGCTGCTACACTGCCAACATGCTAGTCTGTCTGTCTGTCTTTCTTTCTTTCTTTCTTTCTTTCTTTCTTTCTTTCTTTCTTTCTTTCTTTCTTTCTTTCTTTCTTTCTTTCTCTCTTTCTCTCTCTCTTTCTTCCTTCCTTCCTTTTCTCTTTCTCTCTCTTCCTTCCTTTTTCTCTTTCTTTCTTTCTTTCTTTCTTTCTTTCTTTCTTTCTTTCTTTCTTTTTCTCTCTCTTCCTTCCTTCTTTTTTCTTTCTTTCTCTTTCTTTCTTTCTTTCTTTCTTTCTTTCTTTCTTTCTTTCTTTCTTTTTCTCTCTCTTCCTTCCTTTTTTCTTTCTTTCTCTTTCTCTCTCTCTTCCTTCCTTCTTTTTCTTTCTTTCTTTCTTTCTCTTTCTTTCTTTCTTTCTTTCTTTCTTTCTTTCTTTCTTTCTTTCTTTCTCTCTCTCTCTCTCTCTTTCTTTCTTTCTTTCTTTTTTTCTTTCTTTCTTTCTTTCTTTCTTTCTTTCTTTCTTTCTTTCTTTCTTTCTTTCTTTCTTTCTTTCTTTCTTTTCTCTCTCTCTCTCTCTCTTTCTCCCTCTCTCTCTCTTTCTTTCTTTCTTTCTTTCACCTGAAGATTCTTACACATAGAATCGATGCTGGTTTTGGAGATGTGGAAAAACACAGTTGGTATGATCTATCTCCACTTATAGAGATTCTTGCATGGAAAGTGAGGAAATGGTGTGCATATCAATTCTATTTTGTTCCAAAACTAAAAATTAATTTTTTTTTTCACAGAGGAGAGAGAAAAAGATGCATAAATCTCCCATCTGCTGGTTCAGTCCCAAAACGCTTCTAACGGTCACAGGCTGAGGGCCACAGCCAGGAGCCAGAACAGAGTGCAGGTCTCCTACGCAGGTGGCAGGATGCATTCCAGTGGAATCCACTGAGCACACCCTGCAGACACAGGAAGAAATGTGATCTGAGCACGAGGTTAATGAAAAGATGCCTCCTCTTCTTGTGGAAACAATGACGGCCAGCCTTGGGGTCTATACATTCCATGTGAAAAAGCAGAATCCGTTCACTGAGGTCTGAGAAAACCTGGAGCCTTACTCTGTTTATACAGGCTTTTATTTTGGCTTTCTGCATCCTCCCTAGTCCTCCGGGCCCGTGATTATAGGTTATGGTTTGTTTGATCCCTGGCATCTCTAGTTATTATGCATGGAATTTTTGAAACCACATGAGCATGGCAGAGCCAAGCACTTCGTAACGTGGCACAGCCAGCTGGCTGACCACACAGCAGCTGCTCTGATCACCGCCAGCCTCCACCTCCTCAGGATGCGCTCCTCTCATTAGGTGTCAAGAGCAAAATCGGGTTGTTTATCTGATTTCTTGATATGTGCATAATCCACAGAAAAAGACAAAAGTCCCATATGCAGCTGTTAAAAGTAGCTGAAGAGCTTTACATCGCATTGTACTAAATCTGCTTTTTAGGAAGTGAAGTTGTGGAAGCTCTCGGTATCTCGTTACTTTCTTGACTCGGGACTTCAGGAACAACTGATTCCAACTCTGGCTACAGCTCAGAGCCATTGTGGGTGGCTTCAAGCACGCATTTGGAGATTCAGATGTCCCTTCTGGTCTCCACACCTTGACCCTGTGCTTTTAATTCCTGCTACAATGGGGGCCTCACACTCCAAAGAAGAGTTATTTCTGCTAGGAAATGTTATTACTGTCACAAGAAAAACCACTAAGGAAGAAATGATGTTCAGTTGCAGCAGCTTCCAGATTTGACTTCTAAACCCTGTGGGCACCCTACCCTAAAGGAAATATTCTCTGTGGAGGCTCTGGAATTAGAATGACCTTGGTCCAAATCCCAGCTCTGCTGCTGGCTGGCCATGGTGCCCTTTACTTGATTGGTTCTTTGGTTTCCTCATCTATAAAGCAGAGATACTTACAACATAGAGGCTGTAAGAAACACTGATCTTTTAAAGTAAAAGATGGGCTATTTTTATTGGAAAGAGCTATGTTGGTAGAGAATGGGGAAAGAGAGTGTGCGTGGCAGAACATTCCCACCCACTGATTCTCCCCAGATAGTTGCAATGGCTAGGGCTGGGCCAGGACAAAGCTGGGAGCTGAGTCTCCCACACAAGTGCAGGAACCCAAGCACTTAGGCTATCTTCACTGCTTTTCCAAGGCTATCAGCCAAGAACTGTACTGGATGCAGAGTGACCAAGACCTGAAAGAGCTCCCACAAGGGATGTTGGTTTTGGAGGTAATGGCTTTAGGCTTTACCCACTATGCCACAATGCTGACCCCAGATACTGAATTTTAATCCTTTGGTAAATGGGAGACACCCAATAAGCAGAAGTGATTATTATTGCTAAGATGCACTTAGCTCATATTGGAGGTAACAAGGATGTTGAGTCCCGTAACAGGACATATTCATTTTGTTTCAAATCAATGTACATTTGCAAACAGAGAGACTCCAAGTAAACATCCACATAGGTTAAGAGCATTCTGAAATTACAGAATGTATTAGACTTCTTAGTTCAGGCTTTTGACAGATCTAACCGAGCAGGCCACATATTTTGAAAATTATGAGTGGGCATGTAGTGGTTAAGATGCTGTGTTGGACAGCTCCATCCCATACTGTACTGAAGTGCCTAGACTTTTAGTCCTGATGGCTTTCAATTCTACGTGAGAGGCAATAGGTGTTGACTCAAGTGCTTGAGTCCCTACCACATATGTGGGAGACTTGGGTAGTTTCTGGTTCCTAGTGTCGACCTGGACCAACCTGTTGTGGGCAACCGGGTAATGATCCATTGTATGAAAGGTTGATCTCCCCTCTACCTCTGCCTTTCTAACAAAGTAAATTAACTTTATTTTTTTCTCTTTAAGCCAAACTATTCATTATCATAATATCTTTATAGGAAATAAGAATGTAAATGCTTCAGCATTCTAAATAACCTAATGTAGGTGGTTCTATTTTAGTTTCTGCATATTTAAAAAATTTTTATTTTAGAATATGTTTACATAGTTGATGAGGGCACAAAGGACCTAGGGTTAGGAAGTGATGGGTGTGATCGTTGTTTCCAAGCTTTCTATTTTTTTTTTTCCAATTTCTGGGTGGAGGACAGAGAAAAGGCCATACCCAGCCTCCCTACCATCCCAGTAACCCAGGATGGGGAAAGGTCACCCAACATCAACCCAGGGTCACAATGTGGTACGTGCTCAGAAGGTCCTGCCCAAGTGGATGTGATAGTTTCGAAATGCTGTTACCCTCGCCAACCTATGGATGAGGAATCCCTTCCAATGTCCATTGGCTAACACCATAGACCTTACAGTCTCCAATTGCTGAGATATTGCTACCATCATTTGGCTAAGGTAGTTGTCCATATATTCTGTTCTCCATTCTCTGCTATGGTACCAAATGTCCTCTGCAGACCCCAATGATCTACCATGTCCTCCATGTGCAGGATGGTCTGTTGTCCAGCATTTCATCTTCTATTCTGTAGAGAACCAGTTCTCCTAGTTAGGCTCATGGACTTGAGTCAGGTGACCTGGGCCATGCTGGACCCCTCACCCCTGGGGCTCACAGACCAGGCCCCTCCATACAGGCAGACTTCTTGATTTACCCAGGTCCCACTGGACCCCCATCCCCAGGGCTCACAGACCTGACCCCCACTTCATAGGTGGGTCCTAGTATCTTGATCAGAAGACTCAGGGCCAGGCTGGCCCCCTCATTCCTAAGGCTCATGAGTTTAACACCCATTGTGCAGGCAAGGCCCAAGGCCCTGGGTCATGAGACTCAGGACATGCCGAACCCTCCAATCCCTGGGGTTCACAAACCCAGCCCCACCACACAGGTGGGCGTGGTGGCCTGAACCTGGAGACCCAGGCCTCTCCAGGTATCCTATCCTTGGGGCTCATAGATTCAGCACTCACCACATAGGTGGGACAAGAGACCCAGGTCCCACTGGACCCTCTACCCTGGGGATCAAGGACCTGACCCCCACTACATAGT